AAGCAAAATATTAACCGTTTGATATGTCTTTATTCTGTTTCTATAATTCAAAATATGAAAAAATAATTATTCTGAATTTAATCCCTGAAGATATTTAAAAAATCTAGCTGAAAATGATTGCTCTATAATTTATTTTCTTTTTTTTCACAACGCTGACAAGTGTGAAAGTAGAGTCATGTCTAAAGTCTTTTAGTTGCAAGTTGTTATGCATTTCTCTTACTTTCTATAAAACCATAACAAACATTGCATTAGACCAGACAAAAAGATATGTTTGTTTACTGTTACATGCTGAAATAAAATAGGGTCGGTAGGTAGGATTTTTTATTTATTTTATTGATTTTTTTTATACACAAATTCACATGAATTGGTTGAAATGCAAAACAGTTTTACCATTGTGTGGTGCTTTTTTTTTGTTTCTAGTACTTTCAATTTCGACTTCAAATGCTTGACTGATTAAGATGCATGTAAAAGTTAAACTGACCGGCGAGTGACTTCGGGATTTTTACGACGAAAAAAAAATTGAGTCGGCGATTAAATATAGGGTCGGTCGGGTAACCGTAAACAAAAATATTTTTTTTTATTACGCCTTATGAAAATGTGTTTTTCAACATGTTTATGAAAATCCAATATAAAGTCCATATGGAGTTTGTTTTACAAAAGCACTTACGACCAAGACCAACAACTGTAGTTGTTTGTAAAATCTCGCAAAATAAATTACTCTGTTAAAAATGCATACTTATATATTACTCTATTTTTTAAATGTAAAAAAGAAAGTTAATTGCAAAAAAAAAAAAAAAAAAAAAAAATGGTGTTAGTCGTACGTTTTTTTTTTAAATGTGACGTCACCATGTTCGCATGTGCTGATTGTAAAAGTCAACGTTTGGTAAACGCTCCGTACGTATTGAAGCATATGTTTTTACACAAATGCTAAACCATATATTTAAAAACGTAAATGTACATGTAAAATGTGCTGAAACGTATACATGAAATACAAGTGATTAACATGTAGGCCTTGTAAAAATTTCAACTTGGTCAATATAGACCTTTCTGATGAGAAAATTACAGTAACAGGTTTTTTCCAATGTTTTTATTCAATGATTGAATAATTTTTTTCACAATTTTGCAAAACAATTGTACAAGATTGTCTAAAGGCTTTTCAAAAAAAAAAAATCGTTTTAATAATCAAATCAGTCATTTTAAATAGAGCATATTAAGTATTTTTTGAGCTAAAACGTTGAGCAATTTTCGTGAAAAATTTCCATTTTATGTTATTTTTTTCTCTCCATGCAGTATGAAAGATTTGAATGCTAGAAAAGTCGTTAATAGATCTGTATCGCTAATGAAACCTTAATGCAATACTGTAGTATCATATAGTATTAATTGTCTTTACCCATTACTCGTATCTTTGGTTTGCCTTTTAAACTGACATAAATCGTTAATATTTATGTAAATTCAGTGAACAAGAAACAATCTGTGCCGACTATTAACATCGTCAATCCTATTGGGAAAATGACGCATCCATTAATCAACTCTGTATACGACAAAGAGTTAATTATGATTATTGCATGTGTCCCAGATAGCTTTATCATTTTATGTTCCATTCGAGATTTATAGACTTAAAATCTTTCAGTCTTTTAAACACTAATTGAAATATTAAATAATGTGAAATTAGTGTATATCGTCAACTTTATACTGTAGTATTGACAAAAACATCAGTAATAAACTTTTGCAGATAAAACAATGGACATTTTTTGTTTGAAGGTTTCCTTGAAAATATTAAACAACATTTTTATGTTGATAATACTTATTTAAGAATTAGAATTGTCGCTGCAACACAGTGTAAAGTGTGGAAAAGTCGACATGTCACCATGCTGTATATAAATATCTAAGTTAAGTACATGTATCTTAAATACTGGAGTATGTCTGAATTAAAAAGTAAAGATAAAAATACAGGATTTATTTACGATTAGTAACTAAGCAGATAAGGGAGAAAATGATACTAGTTTTTTTTCAACATATCTGAGGGAATATCTTGATATTGTATGTTTTATTCTAAATGAAGATAGAGTTTTGCCTAGAAAAAACCCCCCAGAAGTTTCAAAGAAGTCAATGAAGACTTTATTTTGAAGAAAAAAATACTAAGCAAGGTTTTCTTAGCGTTTTCACTCAAGATCGTCAGTAGGAAAATTTTACAAAGCTAGATTTTTTAATTCACAATTTCACAGTTAAATAAAAAGAAACGCTCTTTTGCAAGAATTACTAATACTTGTTAGCATTTATTTATAATGGAATTTATGTGTATAGTTTCAATGAATTATTTTGGGTGTAAAGTTGGAGAACTGCTTACATGAACTATATTAATTCTTCTGTGTATTGTATTTAACATCAAGCAATATCGAAAAGACTTTTATAATGACATGAAAACGGATATGAAAACAAGTCTATTACAAAGATCTTTATCTCCATTGAAGGCTATTTGCATTACAGTAGAGACTAGTATTAATTGACTCTACCCTATACTTGTCCTCTTAATTTACCTTTCAAACTGACATAAATCATTTATATTTATGACAGATTCTTCAACCAGAAACAATCCACTCTTAGTACTTACATCGATTTTGTTATCAATTCAATGACTTTTACCAATCTGAGTAATATAATCAACAGTCATACCATTCAAGTTTTTACATCACTTCATCTCTGTCAACTGAATAAATTTTCAGGAAACCATCAATTTTAGAGGATTAATATCAAGTGTAAATATCAGAGGAAACCGTTAAAGTATTTTCCAGTGCAGGTACACTATCTAACAAGGATGATTTGCCTTTTTCACGTTCTCTCTGGGATAATGTTAGAAACAATCCTTACTCTAATGGCGTGTTTACGATTCTGTTAATTAAATAAACAAAATGCTTTTTTCTCTCTCTCCTTCAGATTAAAAACAATGTTTCGATTTTGAAGCTAAGCTTTATTGATTATGGAGAAATGTGAACTTAAGTCATGACTTTTAAATTCGAACGAGTTTCATTGATTTCCAAATAATTATATGAGTTTACTTGTGGTAAATTCTATGTCATGGTACATGTAGCCACTATTACGACAAATAATTCATGATGCAATTGCCTGAGGTGTGTTCATAGGATACATGTTGCTTTACTAGTGGCAATTTTCAATTGCTGTTGATGTTTCGATGTGTAATGTTTTCATCAGGAAATAAAATTTTTAATACATTATTAATTCATTTATTTTCTTTGCAATATAAGAAAACAAAGCCATGCTTATTTCTTTTTCTAACTGGATAATTATCAATTTTGCCTCTGAGGGAAAAAATATTCCGCCGATTTGAAATAATGAAAATTAGAGCAGATGTTAAATAAACAAACAAACAATTAAAACAAAAAGGGTGTTGAATAACCATCCTATCTTATGAAAACTTATAGAGGAGAGTTTTGCAAATCTTGTCAGAATAATTTTTTAAAGGCAAACCCATGGTTTAAAATTAACTTGCAAGAAACCAAATTCCTATAAAACTGTAACTCTGCAAAACACAAACCAGACGTTTGAGTAATGAAATTGACATTTACTCCCTTAAATATAACAATTCTTAAAAATTATAATATTTTCTTTATTTAAATGAACAACGCTGGAGTGATATTACAAATAATTGAAATTTGAAACTGCAAAGTAATTGAATGAAAATGTGGAGTTTTCTCTTATACTCCTTTTCTATCTATTCCTAGAAAACTTAAAGAGATGCATCTGAGACATAATCAGTTTTTTACATTTATAAAACTACACGTATGGCAACTTTAAACAGATTCAAAGTATAATTCTAATGCTGAATAAAAGCAATATTTTCCTTCATTGAAAATAATAAATTGAATATCTTCTGATTAAAATGATATATAAAATGTAAATGTAGTGAAGATTTCTGTCTATATATTAGCATTTGTATGTAAAGGATGTCTATTTTTGTCGTAAATGCATCAAATATGGAAACGTATTCGCAAAAAAAGTCCATGTCTTGTATGGATATTTTTCTTTTCCTTTTTATAAAAAATATGCTTTCATTTCATCCCTTAATTGTCCTTAACTGATGAGCTGTTTTGAGTTGTAAAATCTGAGCCCCCCCCCCCCCCCCCCCAGCGATTTTAATATAGCTTAAAGATAAGTTGTAGCTTCCTTGCTGTTGTTTTCCCCTATAATGTTATATAATCTACATTGATAAAAATGACGGATTCTATTCATCTAATTTTACCTTTATACATCACACATTGTATAAAAGAATTTTATTCACAGTATTGAATTATTAACTTAATCAGACCCGACTGTTCTTAAATCGTTTTTGCAAAATGCAAAGTCATTTATTTGAATGTTATGCGTGTTCGAAAACTCGAATTTGCTAACTTGATTTTAGTTTTGCTTTATAGTCCTTTAAGTAACACTTTATCAATCACCAGTAAATGCCTCCTCTGTTTCCAATTTGTGGTTGATGCTAGCGATCTATGAAAACTGATTCTCTAGATAAATGTAAAATCACGGTCATAAAACAGACACTGATCTTTCTATTTGATTTTTTAAAAATGTTTTTGATAGCATATCTGTTCCAAAAAAGTCATGTGATCCAAAGAAGAAACTTAAAGCCATAAATTTTAACATATTCTAAGAAAATAAAAAGCCCAGGTCAATATCGATTAACTCTAATGTGGACATTATCTCCAAACTGTGGTTTCTGCTCAAGGTTTGTCTTCCACGGAGTTTGAAATATCAATTAACCACAAATTAATGGGGTATGAAGCAATCCGATGATATTAGTCGAGATAATAAAGTGATGTTTACCTATTTCTGGAGGGTAAACACCATTGCAGAACATTAGAGCGATAGGGAATTACCAATCAGGATGAAATTACTCAACAGAAAATCCCGGACCACCCGTTATTCTTCTCAAACTCACGTGATATAAAACATTATTTTTACAAAAAACGATCAGCGGAACAAACAGAACATTCCCGACATATCGTAAAAATGGACGTCATGCGAAAACCAAGAGTGATAAAGAAAAAAGTGACCAAAGATTTACCCCCTCCCGAAGTAAACGAAACAGACCCCATACCCATGGAGGCATTCGCAGGCAAAAAACCAAAATTTGGAGAACTTGTGAAAAGAAATCTAGATAGTATCAACAGTGTCACCTTAAAGGAAAGAACAGAAAACTTTATCAACGAAACCAGTTTCACAGCTATTGCCAGAATTGTAAAAGCCAACACTATAGTGAAAAAGATTCTTTGGTTGATCCTTGTGCTTGCAATGATGTCTTGGTTGGGTATTCAGTGTTACTGGCTTTTTGATAAATATTTCAGTTATCCAGTGGAAGTGAAAATTGAACTTAAATCAGCATCTGTGTTGGCTTTTCCTAGCGTCACTGTATGTAACAGGAATCCGTTGAAGAAATCTAAACTGAGGGACTCGGTTTTTTCTGGACTGACAGAAAAGTTTGATTTAAAGACTGATGATACCTTATATAAGGGAGCAATGGACCGACTCCAAGATCAGCCACCGGGTCCTAGTGGTGAGTACTGTAGATTCCTAATTATACGCGAGGAATAAATTATCGCGTAATTACGCGAGAAGCACCAGTCGCGAAGTAAAATTACTCGCTTTTATTTTTTTTTTGTGCTTTAATGTGCGTAAAATTTCTAGATTAATCACACATCCGCGAATTATTGTTCTGGCGATTTTACGCCCTTGGGCCATTTTGCGATATTAAGTACTCGCGTAGAATAAGGAATTTACAATAATGTCAGTATTCTTTAATCAAAGGATGTTTTTGCTATGGTTACTTAATATAAAAACAAGAAAACATTGATGTAACCATCAATTGTCGCCCGGGAAATAAATAAAGTAAACAATGGAAATGAGTCTTTATCATCAAACCGCTTCGATATGTGTGAAAAAGGCATGCGTCTAAATGATGGAGACGATAGTCGAGAATATTTTGAAAACTTATAGTCGGATGAAAATCGAACAAAAACGATACCCTTTTAAACTTTATCAATTCCTCAAGTAAATGTTGGCTGCATAAAATATAATTTGAAACCAGACACATGCATCACCTATTTTCAAAAACATCTTTCACTTTAAGAATATAAAACACGAACTGTGTAAAGTACATTTTTACGTTTTTATGCGATAAGTAGAATTCGATGTTCTAAAAAAAGGGACCTGTCGTTTTTTCGATAGTAAATGATAAGCAACTTTATATATTAAATATGAAAAACATATATATTTTTACAGATTCACTTTATAGAAGTAAATATATTGGGTATCTCGTAATTTATAAAGGGAAAGAACATTCTGATTAACAATCTTTTTAATGTTTAGAAAACCTTTAATTCTGAATAACTTCTCCCACCTCAATCCCCATATACCAACACTTAAACTTATATGTATAGAGCAGCCCGGTCCTCCGGGCTGCAATAACAAGGGTTATTTACAATAATTATAAAAAATGTATTTCTTACTTTGTTCAATATTTCGACAAGTGTTTTTTGGCATCCATTGCAATGCACCGTATAGTTACGTTAGTTTCATCAAATAGATGTGAAATTTGTTGAACAGTCAGGCAATGTTGTATGCATGATCTCTGTTGACAGTAATTGTTATATTTTTCTCTCGTAGGTCCAGACCCCCACACGAATTCCTCCAATCTGACCGCCCTGGTCCAGGAGCATGGCTTCAGGTGTTGTATGATTTAGACATTTTTTTCTGGGTTTTATAAAATCCATATATTAATCTATTTACTTGTGTGAAAAAGCAAGATATGGGTCGTATTTTGACTGGCATATTTCAAGTCAATAAGCCTTTATTTTATACTAAATTCGACTACTTATTATTCGGTCTACCTGATCAGTACGTATGGCTCACGGCGGATGTGACCTGTCGACAGGGAATGATTACTCCTCCTAGGCACCTGATCGCATAACAGATGTGGCAACGCACTTTGAAAAAATTACGCACTTTGAAAAAAAATTTCAAAGTGCGTTAAAATTGGGACAAAATCAACGCACTTTGAAAAAATTTTTCAAAGTGCGTTAAAATTTGGACAAAATCAACGCACTTTGAAAATTTTTTTCAAAGTGCGTTAAGAGTGTACATCAACATTTTCTACCATGGAGACACTTAACGCACTTTGAAAAAATACGTATAAAACAAAAATTCTGGACTTATATTTTAATAATAGATAGCATTAATTTGTAATATTTCTTCCGAAAAACTGATGAATTGATCTACCCTCATCGAGAACAAAGAGAAGACAGGTAGAAAGTCCCTCAGCCCAACTCTCTATCTTTCCTACACAAATATATGTATTTACATAACTGGTATGGCATTGATATTATTTCTCTCAATAAATCTGAGTTAACGTAAAATAGATGAAAAAATTGAAATAAGCTTTCCTGAAAAAAAAAAAAAAATACGCACCCTATTATATTAAAGAAGAGAGCCGCATAACCTTTATTCAAAATGTATCCATAATGATTCCTCAGATAAAAAAATACATTAACATGGTAATTAAAACATGCTATTTGACATGTCTAGCGTTTTTATGATATCAAATTACAGATTTAGAAGTAATCTGACTGCATAACTTTTTTGAGAAAAAGTTACTAGTGAACGAGGTAAAAATTTCAGTCGAGTGAGTAATGTGGTTAAGGTTTATTTTCTTACTATCAAATAAATGGGTCAACCATTGTGTCATATATATTCATAATAGATAGATAGATGGATATGATAGAAAAATAGATCAGAGAGAGAGAGAGAGAGAGAGAGAGAGAGAGAGAGAGAGAGAGAATTTTCATGGTATGGAAAAATCATAATTGCTCCCTTTTCCCTAAGAAAAATGCGATGCTTTAAGTCACTTATCGACACCTACATCTACCGAACTTATTAGAGACGGGATAAAATTTAAAAAAGAAAAGAAAAAAAAAGAAACGAAACTGTGCTATTAAACAATCATTCCTCCATTATTTCTAAGACCCATTTCCCTTTTAAAACATTTACGAGAACCTTTGGAAACAAGACAACTCCTAAAAATATATTTAAATCTCAGATCCTGACGTCACCACCGAAAAGTTATCCAACCAGGTTCAAATAATTATTTATCATATCTAAAATTTGCAAGAATATTGACCAAGCCGTGCACATTTTTTTTTCAAAGTGCGTTAATATGGTCGATATTAACGCACTTTGAAAAGAAATATTTTTTTTCAAAGTGCGTTAACGTTGTCCCAAAATTAACGCACTTTGAAAATTTTTTTCAAAGTGCGTAATTTTTCAAAGTGCGTTGTAATCGCATCTCTGGTGTTTCCAAAGGTCCGTATTTTTTGCCCTGTTTACAGATTTGTATTGTTTGTAGGTTTATTGAGATCAATCCTGTTCGTTATCTTCACCTATTTCATTCACATGGAAATTAACGAAATGTCCAGTGACGTCAAATTCCAATTACATGGAAGATAAAAAAGGTTTATTTTAAGAGCGACCTTATGATAAAGCTAAAGGTCAAATGTGCTTTTAGTTGGAACAAATTGGAGCAAGATCTGTGTATTACCTTTTGGACTTTGCTTTTTTCTGCCTTGTGTGAAGATTTTGTAATATAGTTTTCATCACCTTTGATACATTCATTACTTCACAAAAATGTATTCCCTATAAAAACCACGGTTTGTGAAGAGAGGGCCTGAATACAATTGCCGGAGATGAGTATCTTGGAAAAAGATCTAGAATAAATGGCAACGTTTTGTAATCTCTTGATCTGATGCTTTATAGATATAGCCAAATATAGAATAAATTGATACAATCTACGGATTATTTTTTTTTACAGTACATAAGTTTTTTTCATATACGGACTTATGAAAGACTCTGTAAATAATCTAAAGGTTTATTTTTTTTTTTTTTTTTTTTTTTGTTTTTACAGTATGTGGGACGGGCTAAAGAATGAATCTGTTGCGGCTGCGTTCTACAAAACCTCCAGCTCCGAGATAAACGCGGGAGTAGCATATGCCTCTAGAGCTTTGCTTGAGGATGATGACGTTATAGAAGAATTCGGTCATCAAAAGGCAGACATGATCACTTCCTGTGTATTCGCTGGATACCAGTGCGCGCCGGAGTAAGGAGTCTTACCAATAAGTTTAATTTCCATATTCATACCTTTTTGAAATATTCACAGAAACATGTACTTAGATAATAATGTAAATATTTTGTTTCCTAAATCAGATCATTATCATCTTGAAACGTAGATTTCCATAAATTGTGAGCAGGATTCACGTAACAACGTATATTTATTTCAAATTATGTGTTGATATTTTTCCCCATTGGTTTTATTAAATTATATTATATTTCTTTTAAACTATATATTTTTTAAGGAATTTCACTTATTTGCACAACAGTAAATACGGAAACTGCTACACGTTCAATTCCATTAAAGACCCAAATCCACCACTGTACACGTACTATGCGGGTCCATTGATGGGTAAGAAAATAATGTATATATTTAACTAGTCTCTAAAACGTTCAAGTACCCAACATGAACAATATTTGAAAGCGGTTAGCAAACAGGCAGCGAGAGGTGAACAAACGCTGATAAAGGTGAACGAAATTTTTTCATAGATCAGCATCGAAGAACGGAGGAAAATCACAGAAAGCGTAACTCGAAAGGTTGTTTTTCAATTCGATAATTTTTTACTCATAGTGGTACACCACCAGTTGCCGCGTTGTAAGTTGCAATTATGGACCTGTACTCGGCTCTTATGACCATTGAGCAGTGAGGGATCGTTTTCTCTATAGCATGTACTACGACACGGGTGCACGATTTAAAGGTCGGGTGTCTACTTTCCACTATGAAATTCGATTAGGGATATAAGGATCAACTTCTAACTTCGAAAGACGTTGCCCGAGTGCTCTAGAGTCGCGGAGTAAGTAAGGGTCCGAGTTTGAATCCAATATGGTTCTTCGTATGAGACAGCATTAACCGAGGTCCAGTGTCGCAGTAGGTGCTGACACAAAAAAGATCCCCCTGCTTAAAGGCCGTAAGTGCTGAGTACAGATCGAAATTTGCGGTCCTCCACAGGCAATTGGTGGCGTGTCTTTTGAGTAAAAATTCTCGAAGGGACTTCGAGAGACTAGAACAAGCCCCTCTAATGACTGCGTCACGAGAGCGACAATGTAAACGGAAAGTGAATGCTAAACGAACGGTGGAATGCCGAACGCGCTTTGAGCAAAATAGTAATTTATTCCTTAATTTTCAATATATGTAATACCATAACTTGATTAATAAAGAATAACGAGAGCCTTTTTTGTATTGTATACACACAAATGCAAGTCTACTTTTGTGTAGGAATATCGCGTATAAGTACTAGTACCATAGCGGTACATCAATGCATAGTAATATTCCGTAAACATTTTATGTTGGTCTACTAATGGGTTTGCATGTACTCAACATTTTCATATTCGTACGTATACTGAATATAATAGATAACTTCATACTGCTTTCGATTTTTTTTTTAGATCTATTGATAGGCAAAAATGTAATGATTTCGCAGTAACAATTCAAATACAATGAAAACAATTATATGATTTGCGTGTATGAAATAATGTGTGACGTTTATTGTCAATTTGAGGTTATACTGAAACATTGATCACAAGTGAAACTGCATTACAAGCACGAACTCAAATGGAAAATGATTAAGAAAGTAAATACAGTTAATTCTTTGAAACCTAAACCCAACATCAGTGAACTATTTGTTTTAATTAGAAACATAAACTCGACACGAGACTTCATTAGAACATACTTTGTTCTGTATTTTGACTGGGCATTTCTTTGAAGATAATTATAGTATTAATTTGATTATTGGATCTGATATCGTTAATTGGTTTCATTTTAGCCAAGAAAAAATATTTTTTCTTTGTGTAAAACTGTCAATAAACTGTTTCGAGTTTGTTTGAGCAAAACTATTGAATGGAATACAATAAGAAAAAACCTAGTAGAATATGCGATTAATACATTGGCATGGTAAATTATTGACATAAACTTATCGAATAATTGAGAAAAATCGTCAAGTTAAACAGAAAAGAGAAACTCTATACCACACTTAATTAATGAGACAATTAAATAACGTCCGAATACAAACCCTTCAAAAAGCTTCTGTAAACATCAATTAAACTTTCTGAAATATGTTCAGATCATCGGGTTTAACGTTCTTGCCTTCTGACATTGATTTACAATAATCACTGACACTAAATTAAATGAATAATGGATAGACACAACATACCATCATCCATTAATAGAAGATTAAATCCCTAAATTTATTAATTGCACTGCCTGCCTTTAATGTTTTGAAATGATCTCTCACCCCTTTGAAAATAAAAGTAGTCAATCGAAAATTAAAAAAAAAAGTGTTAGATTTGACTTCCCTTTGACCTTTTTGGATACGGCACCCTAAGTAATTTAATTTGTTTACACTGTTCAGTATGCAAGTAAAACGACTTAAATAATTCTTATCTTAATGATTTCTCCTGATAGTAATTTGACACTGAATGAACGTCTTTCATGATTAAGTATGTATCAAAACACTAAGTGCACAATATCTATAAATGGACGAACTTTGAAATCATATAATTTAAAAGAAAAATACAAATGAAGCTTACACTGCAATACTTTTCACGATGTGTCTGTTCAGGCGAGCGCAGTTGTACAATCATGAACCTTTACACAGCTTTTACTTGTTACTTTATTTCGCCGCTTAAACTTCAAACTGCACTAGACAGAATTTAGACTATAAGTTGCTTTTCCATAACGGAGTCTAAATATTTTTTTTTTTAACGAATGGCATCTTAGAGCAAATACAATTATCTTCTGTTTCTTTGACGCTCCTTGCAAAATCTTTACAATACTTGAAGGTCTCTTATATATAGGACATGTTCGCATGAAATCATGATAGCAAAAGAATTCTGGAAAGGTTTCATACACCAATTTGCCCGACGAATTTATAGATTTCATTCCGAATTTCCTTTGTTCTTACACGCTACTCTCTAAAAAGCTTGTCTCTCGCTAATATTTAATTTGTTTAATGCTTATCCTAGATTAATGGTATGATGATTCAGTATATATCTATAAACATTTTAAAAATTTCTAAAAACCGGTCAAAAAAGCCAGAGAGAGAGAGAGAGAGAGAGAGAGAGAGAGAGAGAGAGAGAGAGAGAGAGAACAATTATCCTATGCTTATACTATTTTCAAATTCAGGAATGACACTTGAATTCAACATCCAGCAGGATGAGTACATATCTGCCCTTGCACCAGATGCCGGAATTCGTGTATCAATACATGAACGGGGGACATATCCTTTTCCGGAAGACGATGGATTCACTATAGCTCCAGGGATGGCCACCTCTGTAGCGCTGAAAAGGGTAAATATCTTTGAAGAACGACTCCAGAATTAATCTTTTGATAATTTATTGTATGAACAAAACAATATTTATGAATTGCTTGGAAAATCATAGTATTTATAAGCTAATTAAGGACCTGATTAAATTTTTTTATTAAATTTAAATGATGTAGATGATTAAAAGTGTTAAGAAACGAGGATATACTTATTTTATTTTGTTATTTAATAGATTTTTGAACGTTTTCCCTTGTCTCTTTAGGTATATATCAGTCGCTTGGAACCCCAACATGGAAACTGTTCTAAAAATCCCACAAACGTGGATGAATATATGAAAAGATATGGATTCAGCTACCATAGACGCACCTGCCTAAAATCCTGCTATCAACAGAAGCTGATAGATTATTGCAACTGCGCATGCTCAAACTTCATCGTTCCAAAGAATGTCACTAACATCTGTAATTACGATGACGAAAGCATAAGTATGTATAATTTCGTGAGATTACTTAAATTAATTTTAAAGTAAGCAATCTACCTTTGTGTTAATATTCTAAGTAATTATATACAACTAATTCAATACAAGAATACTCGCCCGCGTGGCGCATTGTTTACGCAGGTATCTTAAGGCAACACTTAGATCATTTATCAAGAATTCACACCTTTTTGAAAAATGTAAGATTGATAAATCGGAAAAACCTCGGATAAAACATTAACATTTAGTATCCACTGTATAAACGTCAATGAGATTTAGCTTAAAGAAGCAATCCTCTACGACATCATCACTTGACATCTATAAATTGAAAAAAAATATGTCTCAACGAAAAGTAAAAAGTTCAACACTAACCCGTTGATAATTCATTTTTTTTGTAAAAATAATTATGTAAAAGCAATTCTGGGTAATGAAAAGTACTGCTAGAATCCTACTCTCATGACACAGAAATACATATTTCACACTTTGCATGAAACCTAGCTTACCAACTTGAACTTTTATCTCTGTTGTTGAGGACGACAGAGAAAACGCTGATCGTGCTCTCAAAACATTGTCTTTAATATAAGTAAAATTGATGAAAATAAATCAGCATACCTGATTCTTAAATATTAATTTCTCATGAATCACACGTGATATTCACTGTATCTTCTTTTAACTCCGATTTTATTTATTTGTTTATATAAATTCTCGTCTTGTTTCATTTTCACTCGCGATCGGTGAATATGTGATCAAAAGCCATGGCGTCATAGGTTAGGGATTTAAACCCCGTGACAAATACTTCGTTATGTATACCATCCAAAAATATCATGATTTAGTTTATTTTATATTTTGCATGTTTCAGTTTATTTCTAGGACCTGAAATAATTCTTTAAATATAAATATTTATGAAATCGTTATTTCTAAAGATCACATCATACAGCTTACTATGACGTCTTATTGTACAAGCAAGTTAGAATATCTGATTTTAGCCTGCACATACATGTACCCGCGTAGAACGTTTGCTACATAGTTAAAGAGTAAGGAGTTGATCCTTACATCGCGGGTTCGAATCCCACTGCGGGACGTGGAGACCGGTCCTTCGGATGAGACCGTATAAACCGAGGTTCCATGTCTCATTAGGTGCTGGCACGAAAAAACTCCCTCACTGCTCAATGGCCCCGAGTGCCGAGTAGAGGTCTAAATATGGAGTCCTCCACAGGCAAGTGGTGGCGTCTTCAATTGAGTGAAAAAGTTTTCGAGAGGGACGTTAAACAAACAAACAAAAAAAACAAAAAAAACAAAAAAAAACAAACAAACAAAAAATACAATACACAGTACAAGTATATAGGCAGACAAGACAATAAGTTACATGAAGTTAGAAAAAGTGAATATTATTATCATTTATTTTTACATAAACGCATCCTTCCAGCTTCTTTTTCCCAATACATACCCCAGGCCACCACTATACTTCTCTGATGACGTGTAATCGAATCAAGGTACTGATCTCTAAGCAACTATTGATGAAATATTCGAAATATTTTAACCCAGTGTTCCAAAATGTTTGCCTAAACCATATTAAAAAGTCAATGATAACCAAGTGATCATTTTAGACACAAAATAGAGTAAAAGGAAATATGGAGATAATGATCAGTATTCAAGCTCATAGTCCATTTAAACTATACAAATCGGAAGCAGAGCAAACACGGACCTCCAAAAACATGACAGGCTTGATCAGGTGCCATGGAGGAGTAAGCATCCCCTGCCGACCGGTCACACCCAACTGTGCTCCCTGTCATGATCGTGTAAACGGAAAAATCCCTAAAATTTGCAGTTTGTATATAATGGCCTAACAATTAGTATGGAAAACTTCAGTCAAGATTTGATCTAATGATAGATTGCATTTGCTGATAAAGTCATTGTATCGACAATAGAACTTGCGAAATGATGATTTCAAGCGAGACTGTTGATATCCTTATTCCATCAACCTGTTGTTTAATAGATTGCATCGTTTAAAAAATTGATTGTACGTAGAGCATGCTCTAAAGTATCGAATCAACTGGGAGACATGAATCCCATATGCAGGTGATAAGGGTATCTTGTTACATAAGTAAGGGAAGTTGACGATAGAAAAGTTGAAGTCATCGCGTTTATCATAAAGTTTTCTTGTTAGGTTACTATTAACGTTTTTTTCTAGTAAAATATCTAAAATCTGAAACAGACGTGTCAGATTCTGTGGTGTCTTTTGTGTCAATTTCACTGGTATATATTAAATCGATATATGAATGGAAGTAACTATTGTTAATTGATAATGCGTCGTCGATATATCTAAATATCGAGTTGAAGGCCACAGCAAGCATTTCTTTCTTGTCATGTAGAAGTTTTTCTATAGAAATAAAAATAGATTGTTGCTAGATCTCCAAAAACTACATATATTTTGTCAATCAGAAACTCCAGCAACTTTGGAGAAGTTGTGTGTACAATCAAAGTGTTTTTAACAAAATAATTTTGCAAATGAACAATGATAAGGTAAGTACATTTACGATTTCCATTTTAATTTAAAAAGTAGCCGTGTATGATGTCAAAAGGCCTGGACTTTAATTTTTCCGTGGGGAGTGATTATATAAAACGTTTAAAGTCGTACGTTTTGATGTTATTGATTTTTGTAAAAAATTTTGTGCTTTCAAATTTTCCAAACGTTCGTTGGAGTTTTTAAGTATTCACATCTGATTTTCAACACTTCTCAAATATTCTGTTGTACAGTACTCCTGAAGTTTCTCCTTCACTGCTGTAAATATATTTGTGAGGAGTAAAAAAAGAGGCTTGGTAAAACATTTACTGGAACCCGCTATGTATCTTTGTTTGTAAGGATTTTTATGGAGTTTTGGAATCCAGTAAAAGTTTGGTAATTCAGATTCATTTTGATTATTGGAAGTATTAGAAATATTTAAAACTAATATGTGGTTTAGAAAAATTTCCTCCTTAGAAAGGGATGGGTATAACCTGGATAATTACTTGCAGAATTAAATCCTAGTTCCTCTAAAATGCAATTAAAATAATGAGCCCTACAAACAAAGACAATGTTGTTACCTGCTTTCTCAGCCTGGACCAATACATGCATACTGATCGTGTAATCTATCAAATTTTCATTGTGGAAGACAGAAGCATAGATGTTTTTCATATTGCCCTTCAATCGTTTAATGCTAGATTACAACATCATTTATTACTTTCAATTCATTCTGACAAAATGTCAAGGTCTTCTTTTTCATATTTGGCCTATTGTCTGGTGAAATCTTCTAAGAATTCATAATACTTATCAAATCAATACGGCAGTTAGAAAATTGGGATTTCCTATTTCAAAATGTAGATTTCATGTAAGAAAATGTTAAATTAATTTTATAGAGTTGCAGGTGTTTATTTTGATAATAAAACATTTTGTGACAAATACATATAATTTTATACAAGGTGGAAACTTCTGAAGAAAAAAAAATGAATAAAAAAAGAAATGGATAAAAAGAATTTCTTCAATTCTGATCCCTTGAAAATAGTTTTTATGAGTTTTTAAATTTTAAAATGAACATTTTTGTTTTGAAATTACTCAAAGTTGTTATATGAGCTGAACAAAAGATATGGTTGACAACTTACTGTATATCTATTTTTAAAATTTGAAGAGCAAAAATAAAAGAACGGATATGGTACATAGATTGAGGGCTCGCTCGAGGGTATATAATTAATATAAATAATTACAATAAAAGTGAATACTTGTAGCATCAGCACAGATGATGTTAATGTAAGTAATGTGTAACGATGTTACAAAGATCATTGGGATTGAGATTGATGCACTATCAAGTTTTCGTCATCCTTTCAAAAATCATCAATTTTTTTAAAGCGATTCTTTCAATATTGGGATACTAACTCCTCCATGGCACCTGATTCCACATCTGATGTTTTAGAGGTCAGTGTTTGCTCTGTTCCTGATTTGTATTGTTTGAATGGACTTTCTAGCTTGAATACTGTTCGTTATCTCCATATACTTCATTTCAAGATTCATCAATTAAACTTATTGATGTATTGAGCATTCGTAAATGAATTTTAATGTCTAAATTTTAAAATAAAGTAAAATCGTCGTAAAAAGGGGATGATACAATTTGTCATGTCAATCTTCGGTTAAGTGAAACTTCATTTTTGTTTTACAATTTTGAATTTATATAATGATTGTGTTTTTTGTGAAATAAAAAGAAATACACTCGTAATATTATGCTAACTGGCTAATGTTAAGCCAGAGCTAGAACATCTGAATATAAACATAGGTATCGGAAGCAAATTGAAAGGGGGGGGGGTGACCACCAATAACGACTACAACAAAGTTGTGGGGTAAACTTTAATTTTCAATGCCTTTATTATGTCTATCTTTGTAAAAGAAAAAAAGTGGGGAGAGGGAGCTAAGCCTCCCTAGCCCTCCTCCCCCCCCCCCCGTTTCCGACGCCCATGATAATTTAAACGACGTCAGGAATATTACTGTAAGACGTCACGTGATAGTTTTAAAATAAGAACATCAATTGGCGATGTTTGTCTATATGATTTATAAATTCACTTGAGAAGTGATTGTTTTTTATTTATTCAGTAAACCACGGGATGATTAATATCTTTCATTTTATTTATATCTCAAAATTTACTTGGGGGTGGGGAGTTGGGATGGGGGCAGGGGGAGATAGCATTTATGTAAATATCACTTCAAATGAACTTTACTGTAATTGCTTTTTTTGATGCCATTTTCTGACAAATGATTGATTGATTGTATGTTGTTTTACGCCCCATTCGAGAATTTTTTCACTCATATAGAGACGTCCCCATATACCGGTAAAGGGCTTCAAATTTTGACCTATACTCGGCACTCAGGACCATCGAGCAGTGAGGGATTTTTATCGTGTCAACGCCTGCCGTGATACGGGGCCTCGGTTTTTAAGGTCTCATCGGAAGGATCTGCAACTTTCACTTCAAAGTGCCGAGCGCATGTCGAAGGAACAATTGCTACCCATTTTTATCGACTTAGGTCTGTCGCGGCCGAGATTTGAACTCACGACCTCCCGATCACGGAGCGAGCGCTTTTGACAAATGAAAATTGATCATTATATTGTGTGAGTTCTTCCGGTACCTGTTTTTTTTACATGAAGTGTATATAAAAACAATGACAATATCAAAATTTACATTCTGAAATACATTCATCTTCAACATCATTAAAATACCTTGAAAATGTTAAAAACACATGAAGAATTTTAAATTCGAGGAGAATTTGTCACAGAAATTTTCTAAACAAAAGAGAATTAAAAGCAGAGTTATTTCAATACGAATCATGACGTAATATTAGTTTTAGATCATATACACGTATATTCACGTTTTACTAAATTTTCTTTGTATTGTTGCCCTAACAATTCGCCAAAACATTGCATGTTTTACCAATTTTAACTCCGAAGCGAATCCCGCATTCTATGTTTTAATTATATACATGTAAAGCATATTTTCTTAGATATTCCTCTCAATTTGTCCAATGCTCTCTGAATTAATCCCATGTCACAATAAATCAAAGCTATGCATTTCTCTCAATAAGTCTCCCTCATTTTTTGTTCATTTTTCATAATGTTTCTCTGTTGTTCCTATAGGGGTTTGTACCATGAAGTCAGTAAAGTCCTGGGACACCTGTGAGGAGAGATGCCCGAGCACCTGCCAGTAAGTATCACAGAAATATTGTTCTATATTTATTTTGAACTGTTATCTGATATTATTATCATTTATTGCTCTTATCACTCTACCAATTTTTATAGATAAATGAAAATGAGTCAAAGAATAATTTATTTCAATTATACTACGACATTATTGAAAAAATATCCATCTATCATGCAGCTAATCACCATAATTTTGTGATCTTTATATTAAAAAATATGTCTTTACAAAAATGCTTATCATTTTTGTGCAATTGCAGTATATCTATTCGGATTTTGTGCAATATCTTTTTGGATTATGACAGCTATATTGATCATAGTGTAGCATTCAATTTGTAAAATAATTCAAACAATAATTTTCCAAAATTTGTCTTTTTCTTAGAGAAAATAAGTACGAAACCATGGTAACTGCTTCCGCCTGGCCATCTGAAGCCTATAATGTAAGTCTACTCTAAAAACAATCATCAATCCAAATTAAAACAAAGGAAACAAAAGCATGGTGCTCTTGAACGATTAATTACTGCTCACTAGTTTAATGAGAATAACCATTTGTACATTCGAATAAACCATTTCAAAATTCACAATATCAAAATTCTTAAATTCTGTTTTGAAATGTACGCAAAAGGAACAAAAAAAAAAAAAAAAAAAAAAAAAAAAAAAAAAAAAAAAAACACAAACAAACAAAAAACAAACAAGCAAACAAACCTTTCACCATGAGGAGTAATTGTACAATCTGAAAGATATATTTATTTTTGATAACTACAAGGATTTTGCTGCCTTTCAATTTAAAAACTATTAACAAATCAAGTAATTATTACTTTAGAAATTAAAGTTATCTCATTTCTAAGCTTAAAAGAATCTAGGCCTTCCACGGCAAAGTACAAAGAAAGAAATGCATTAACGAAGTCTCACAGGAATCACTGTTTTAGAAAATCAATTTTTGCCATTTTTAATTGATCCATGATCTTTCATATCGAATCAAAGGTTAATGATGATTTTCTTTGTTTTTCCTTAATTTTCTTTTAAGATCGAAGCTTACTTGATACGAGCCACTTTGTTCCTAGAAATCAGAGAAGCGCCAAGATTTTCTAATAAATATTTCCAAAACCACATTTTTGTTGTTTGTTTTAGTAAAAAAAAAAACTAAAAAATTCCATCATGAATGAAATGAAAAAAAGTGAAGATAACGAATAGTGTTCGATCTAAAAAAAAATCTATAAAGAATACAAACGTGTAAATAGAGCATAAACCAAGGACCCCTGGAAATTCCGGAGTTGGAATCAGGTGCCTAGGAGGCGTAAGCCTCCCCTGTTGACCGGCCACAACCGCCGTTACCACTATGTATTGATCAGATAGACGGAACACATAGTTTACAAAATACAAGTAACCTTTTCCGATTCCCTTTTTGTATGCGAATTGTGATTTTTTTTAATAGAGGACATTGCAATAAAATTTATCGTAGAAATCCTCAAATAACAGCATAACCTAATTTTTTTAACACAAATATTTCATCTCTTCTTCTCTTTTTTCTTGAGCAGGACTACCTAGAGAGCCGTATGAAAATAACCACAAGCGAGTTCATGAGCGGGGGACAGAAAAGTAAAATGTATGTTTATAAAATGATAAAAAAGTCCTTTGCAGTGTTTCTTTCAGCCACCAAAATATCGTTTTTTTGTTTACCCAGCTGAGTTTTGCAACAACAATTTATACATACTCATATATCATTTTCAAAATTTAATTTTTATTTTACTGACAATGAAAATACGAATGGCAGTGTTTATTATGCAAATGGTAATTAACAGTCCTCTGCAACTTTCTTAAGAAAGCTCTAAACACCATTGAAAAATGCTTTTGAGACTTTGAGAAAAATATATCAAATAAAAACGTGTACATAAATTATTTTCAACATAGGGTACATGCCTAATTTTCCTAGGAAAAATGTTTAAAGACAATGAACTATTTGTCAACACAAATCACTGTTGTTTATATTAAGTTTACTTTATGCAAATTAATAAGTATTAATGGAAATAATAAAAATGAAATAATATTTCAATAATATGATAATAATTATAAGTATTAGAATGAATTCAGGTATCTACTCTTGGTCTAATATGATGTAAAAATACAAAAATCCATTATAAAATGTGTCATCAACAGTAGAATCCTTTTTATTCTATCTTACTTCTAAAGTCATATCATTCTAACTACATAAAACTACCATACAATTAGAGCTCTTTAGTACCCAGAATTTAGAGCTTTCTCAAAGAGACAGTTTTTTTCAAAGGAGGATGGAGCAAAAATTTTTTAGAATTCGAATGTTTATAAATATTGAACATATAAAAGTTATTTGGACTTTGCAGGGATAATAACCTTGTTAAACTGGAAATCTTTTTTGGCGAGATGATGTATGAAAGCATCGAATCCCAAAAGGCGTATGAGGTTTGTATAGACATTTATAGCACTCAAAATCCTAACAACAATTATGACTATTTAAACAAAAATCTTTTTAAATTTTTATAATATCATGAATCTTGATTTAATTAATGCCTACTGATTTGCAGTTACTTTGCAGTCATATTATGCATGCAGTTTGATGTTTGTGTTGGCTAATTCTTTAATTATTTTCTGATTTTTTTCTTTTGTTACATTATAAAGTGATTGTTATTTAGTAGTTATAAATGAATTTGCAGTCCCAGAACCTGATTTCTGACGTCGGGGGACAGCTAGGCCTTTGGCTTGGACTATCAGCCATCACTGTAGGAGAGATATTCGAGTTCGCCATGTCCGTGTTCCGGCTTTGCACCGCAAAATTCTTCACTAAGAGACACCGAACAGCAGATTCAACTCCAATACAAGCGTTCAAGAATGATGTATCATAAATATAACCAATTCTACCTCCTGACCGTTAACAAATTTGGTGATCATTATTTTTGCGATAATGTATTTATTTTTCTGTACACGGGATTTGAAAAAAAGAAGAGTGATTTATCTGCTGAAAAAATCAAATGTTGGATTGGTTATAAATATATTATGTATGATTTTTTTTTAAAATGAAGATAAAAAATCGCTAGAACTAGCGATTTTGCTTCATCACTTGATGCTATAACCATATTACTACCATATAGATCTACATATAGGCTTACAGGTCTGCCGTCGCATGAAAATCCTAAATGGGTATTCCTATTCCTTGGACCTTATTATTGGAACGTCCAGTCAAAAAAACTGAAGAAATAAATCCTCAACATATTTGTCATATGTCTTAAAAGAATAATCTAATTCCAAAGTTTTCATATTTTTTATCTAAAAATATCTTTCCTTTGGCATGTCAAAGTCAACAAGGCTACTTTCATCAAATCAGTCTTTACATGTATGTCATAATTCACATTTTGAGGCTTACCGAGCTAATATTCACCTTTCAAGGAGCTAGATTTACATTTGAACTTGCTAATTGATTACTGTTTGTTAAATTCATATTTCATACAGCATATTATACTAATTCAGACAATTATGAATTTTTATATCATTCGATTTTCCTCTTTAAGCACAATTCTGAAAAAGCCCCTTTAAAATTATCACATTTATTAAAAAATTCTACATTATTTCAACTCGTTGGATAAAGCAAATATAAAACAATACAATGTAGATGTCCTCTATATATCACGAAGTAATGATACATATACAATATCAACGATAGCTGAATTCACCCACGACAGTTTTAGATATTTGCCGCATAGTATTGAAGGAAAAAACCTTCCAGTTTCATCAAATGTCATTGGTTTGGACACTAGTGCAATGTAATATTTTTGTAAAGAATGTCTATAATAAAAATGAAGTGCACCTCCGTCCTCTAGTTGTTTTGTTTGTTTTTATATACATGTGTCCTAATATATTTCCAAATTTAATTAAATTATTTAAACAATTATAATACAGTGTTATGGAATGTTAAAAAGCTTTAGTTTTATATATGTCTTTCGAAATAAAAGCTGAAATGATTTCCCAACGTTTCTTGTCTTTGTTTTTTCTTTACATTAGATAATGAATGATATAAAGCATATTTTCAATTAGCAAGTCTTGATTTTAAATACATGTATATTTTACCAGAGTTACAGCATCAAGACGACTCAAAAATTATTTTGACAGCATTTAATTCCTATAATTTGTGTGTTTTAAAAAAATTAAAAAAAAAAAAAAAAAAACTACGCGCTTGGCAATTTTACCTCAATACATGAAATATGGAGATAACGAACAGTATTCAAGCTCAAAGTCCATTCGGACAATACAGATCTTGAACATGGCAAACGTGGACCTCCAGAAACATCAGAGGTGGAATCAGGAGCCATGGAGGAGTGAGCATTCCCTGATGAGCAGACAACTGCTGTGTGCCCCCGCCATGACCTGGAAAAACGGAAAAACCCGCAGACAATTCAGTTTGCAAACAACGCATGAGTAGTTTTTTTTATTTCAATTAATTTTATTTTAGATCTCAGATCAGACTACGTTTACGTATAAAATACCACAGAATGAAAACTCTTTTGTATGAATGTATACAGGCTTCATTTATCTGAAACATAATAATTAAAAGACTGAGGGGCAATATGAGAACCATCTATCCTTCTGAATTCAATAATCCAGAAGTGAAAAAAAAAATTAGATAGATTACATGATCAGTACCCAACCCGGTTCCAACGGCCATGTATTATACGCACGTACGTACACATCTGGGATTTACTCTACAGCAGGAACACTTGAATTAGTCCTTCAGTTCTGTAAAAAGGACACCCCCCTTTTTGATCAGGCACAAATGGTCGAATTTTAAAGGTCATGGCAGCTAGAAACATACAAACACTGATAACCCTTTGTCAACATTAGTTACAAGAAGTACTTTTCATCCCTCTCACCCCTTATTGATAAGATCTGTACTATTTGTGAAAAAGGATTGAGGTTATGAAGAGTTTCAATCAAGACCAATTTATGACAGTTGTGTTTCTTTGGCGATTCTTTTAAACTTCATCTTATGGCTACTTTGTACTACGCATGCCTTTAAACTACAATGATATCAAGACACATTATGTTAAAAGATACATGAACAGAAAAACTGGAAAAAAAGGAAGCAAATTGTCATGTTAGGAAAAATGAAGTATTACATAAAACTGGTGGTTTGAATCCATAAGGTGTCTTACAAAACACATTAATTCACAGATACATATATGTAAACTATGTACAAAACTGGTCGGTTAGAAATAAAGTACACTCACCGTAACCAATAAAGCAAGAAATTTAATACCGGAAGAACTAATTTATAATGGAAGAAATGTTTGTTGAAACTTTTTTCTTGTCTCTCTCTCTCTCTCTCAATGATTTCTTATCCATGAATCATGCATATTTTTATCAATATCTTATAATGAATAGTCAGTCCAAAACAATTTTACTGGGAATAAAATGTCTCAAGCGTTGCTGTGTAAATCATTGTACGATAACTTTATTCCTCCTAGACGATTCGTAACTTATGTTTTTATTAAAAACGGAAATAGTGTGAGTACTTAATATTTATATGGAATAAATCTCAAAGAATCTCGTGATTTGATTTTATGCTGTTTTACGTCCCTTTACTGTAAATCATATAGAGAGGTCACCATATACCGATGAAAGACCTCAAATTTAGAACTTTACTCGACACTCGGGCCATAAGCAGTGAGGAATCTTTATCACGGCAACGCAGGGCATCGGTTTTTAATGTCTCATCCAAAGGATCTGCAACTTTCACTTCAAAATGCCTAGCGATTTGCAAAGGAACTGGGATTTAATTCTGCAAGTCATAATACAACTTATACCCATAGTTCCCTTTCTAAGGAGAAAATTCTTCAAAATCATATGTCCTTTTTAAAAAAATTAATATTCCAAACAATCAAATGAATTTGAATTACCATACCTATACTGGATTCCTAAACTTCATAAAAATTCTTACAAAGAAAAATACATAGCGGGGTCCCGTAAATGTTCTACTAGACATCTTTCTTTACTCCTTACTAAAATATTAACAGCAGTGAAGGAGAAACTCCAGGACTACTGTACAACAATATATTCGAGATGAAGTAAATCAGATGTGGATACTTAAAAAACCCAAGGAACTGTTAGAAAATTTGAAATCATAAAATTTAACAAAATCAATAACATAAAACGTATGACTTTTCAACACTTTATAAAATTATTCCTCAAATTAAAGTCCATGCTTTTTGATATCATGGACAGCTGCTTTTTCAATAAAAATGGAACTCGTAGATTTACCTACCTTGTCACTGGTCATTTGCGAAATTATTTTGTTAAAAAATTTATTGTAAACACAATGCTTGAGTTTCTGATTGGCAATAACTACGTAGTTATTGGAGATCAGGTCTTCCAACAATCAATCGGAATACCCAAGAGTAAAAATTGTGCCCCTTTATTAGCAGACCTAATTTTGTATTCCTATAAAGCAGAATTTATTCGACGACATATTATCAATTAACAATATTTACTTCCATTCATTTGTCGACTCAATATATCCCAGTGAACGTGAAATAAAAGTTACCAGAGTCTGACACATCTGTTTTATATTTGGATATTTTACTAGAAAAAGAAAAGGACGTTTATGGTAACCTAACAATAAAACTTAATAATAATAAACGTGATGACTTCTACTTCCCTTACTTATGTAGCAATTACCCTTATCACCTGCATATGGGGTTTATGTCTACGAGTTGATACGTGATTTTGATACCCAAGAGCATGCTCTTAGTACATGTACGAACAATATCAATTTCTAAAACGAGGCAAACTATTGAAAAACAAGTTCATGAAACAGGGATATCAACAATCCCATTGAAAATCATCATTTCCCAAGTTCTATTGTCGGTACAATGATCTTGTCAGCAAATACAATATATCATTGTAGATTCAATCATTCGATGAAGTCGAATGCTGACTGACGATTCTCATGCTAATTGTTAGGCAATTATTTAAACACTGAACTGTCTACGGATTATTTCGTTTGCTTGGTCAAAAGGGGATGCTTACTCCTCCATGGCACCTGATCCAACCTCTGATTTTAGTTTTCTCATATCAACGAGTATCTTTACTTAGTTAGTATGCGATCAGATCGTTATCAAGCAAGCAATACAAATTTAATACTGGCAAATTAATGATGGTGGAAAAGTTCGTTGAAACTTTTTTGTTAATATCTACCTCTCAGTGATTTATAATCCATTTTTGTAGTTATTATGTTCATCAATATCTTAAATGGAGTGTTTTCCTGATAAACATGTGTTAATATCTGGCTAAAGGCTAAAGAGATAGCAATTTGATTTTTTAAAAAAAGATACCGTGCTGAAGGGATGTGAGTCAATTACATTAAAAAGCATTTCTTTTTAAATTACAATTAAATTACAATATTTTTGTTCTTCTTGAATAGATTACAAAATTTTTTAAGCATAGAATTAACTTAATTATAATTATTTTGCAAAATTCATTTTTTAAATGATAAATACATGTTTATTTTTTGCAAATTCTCAGAATTCTCTGTAAATTAATCAAGAGTCCGGTAAATGCTCAACCTCTCAACCATACAAGAAAAAAGAGATATATGTGTTGTGTATCTTTGTGGTGACTTTTAAAATTAATTAGAAACCTTTATGTAGTTATCTAGATTCAGTGTGAAGCTTTTATTGTTCTTTTTTTCCTATTCAAAAAAACCTGTAATTACAAGTACACTTATTGCCTGCCTTATGAAATCTGATTAAAAGCGGGTATCTTTAGTAAATAAATCAAAACTCAAACCTCTAATTATTACATTCATAAGTAAGCTTAACACCTTGGATTACAAATGTTGACTATTTTCATAGGATATAAATACTTGTTCGGAACTATTTAAGATACAAATGCATTAAAAATTCTATAAGATAATGATTGAATAAAAAAAATCCTTTTCTGAAGTTAAATGCAGTAGTGGAACTTTCTTATTTGAGTTTTTTTTTTACTTTTATTAAAAAAACAAACTTTAAAGTAAAACAGTTCTTGGCATGAATATCGCTTTGGAGGGTGGTTTGATTTTCAATGAATACTTTGATCACCTTTATTCGTGGTATGGCTAAACGACAAAAACATTGAAAATTGCTCAACAAAAACGATGAAAAACTATTTCCTTTTTACAAAAGTTGAAATAAATAGGAGTGCAATCTCTGATTCATTACTCAGCTGCTATT